GTCACTACTAAGATATAAAACTAAGGTTACTTAACAGTAAAATAAGCACTCTTCTTTCTTAAAATTTTCTTATTTTTATTTTACGTGTATGAGTGTTTTGTCTGAATGAATGTAAGCGCACCCATGTCATGTAATGTCCACAAAGACCAGAAGAGGATGTTGGATCACCTGGAGCTGGAATTACAGAGAGTTGGTTAGCTATCATGTGGGTGTTGGAAACTGAAAGAGGGTCTTCTGCAAGAGCAACCAGTGCTCTTAACCACTGAGCGATCTCTCCAGCCCCACCACTCTCTTCCTTTGTGGATTATGTTCCGAGTCTCCCAAGGATGCCTGAAACCTCGGCTAGTTCTGAACCAAATCCATTCTGTTTTCCTATACAAACCTACCTAAAATGGAGTTTAATTTATAAATTAGGAACTGCAAGATACTGGCAACAAAATAGGCCTCCCATGTCACTCAACAATCAACAAAATGCCTCACAAACATGCCCACATCTCAATCAGATAGAGGGAATTCCCAACTGAGGGTCCCTGTTCCCAGGTGTGTCAAGTTGATGGTCAAAGTCAACCTCGACGCTACCACAACTAGAAAAGGTTCTAAAAGCTCCAGCCACCAATATGATTGGACAACAGCCACAGAAAACTACAGAATAGGCACAGAAAACAACTCAGTTTGCCACAAAGTAGTCAATCAACCTGGTTAGTGGTTAGAATTGTTTACAGCTTAATTACTTAATTGGTTACAAGGCTCAAGTATTATGTTTAAATTCTGTATTGGTCTACTAGAACCAGTGCCATAACCTAGGTCAAATCAATGGTTTCTTTACTTTTTAAGTACTGAAATATCAGTTTCCTCTAAGTGTGTGTGTGTGTGTGTGTGTGTGTGTGTGTGTGTGTGTGTGTGTGTACAGTTATATAAAGTTACATGCTAAGTTTAATCTAAAGTGGGATCATGGTACACTTCTGTGAAGGCAGCATTTGTAAGAATCTAAAGCAGGAAGATGGACGGTTCTAGGCCAGCCAGTACAAAGTAGGGAGACTCATCTCAAACAAACCAAAACTGTGGGGGGAAAAAATAAATAGACCTTTAATCTCAAAGGAAAATCAAAACTGTTGCAATTCCACAGCTTTTGAAGTCTAAACTCAGCCTCATTTTAAATGCCAGAAGCCAAGCTTGTAAAATAAGCAAAAAACAGGTAGTGGATACTTTTGTATGAGATTAAGAAAGAGAACTAATAGGATGATGAGGGATTAAGGAGGTGAACTAGAAGCCTAGGTAAAAGACCCTGGGTGCGATCCTTAGATCAGAAATCCCTTGCAGGCAAGGATTTTTGTCAGCAAAGGCTCTAAGGCAGCCACAACTTCTGGCACTATCGCATCAATCTATCAGAGACGTCTCAGGACTTTGTATGCTAAATGTATGGAGACACTGAAAAAAGCTTTAAGCTATTCCTTGTAATATTTAAGAAGTATATTTAGAATGTTTCAAAGAAAAAGTAGCAGCTGAGAGTCTATGAAACAATTAGTTTTCCTAAAATAATGTTATTCCTTGAATGCGCCCATTTATAATAAAAGCAATGCAAGTAGGAAGAGGAATGTCAACCAATTTTACCTAATCAGATAAAAAATATCATTAGCCTATTTTATAGTACACTAAAACAATATCCATGACTTGACATTTCATAAAGAAAAGAGATTTAGTAGGGCATGGTAGGGGCATGCCTTTAATCCCAGCACTCAACAGAGGCAGAGGCAGGTGATCAATATGAGATGGAGGTCAGCCTGGGATAATCTATACTGTCAGTTCCTGGCCAGCTGGGGGCTACACAGTGAGGATCCTGTCTCAAACAAGCAGAGTAAAGAGGTTTAGTTAGGTCACTGTTTTAAAGGTTGAAAGCCTGAGGTCAGGCAGCCCAAATATGGAGTCTGGGAAGGACTTTCTAGCTGCATCACAGGGCAAAGGGCATCATAGCAGGAGCACAGGAGAATCGAACAAAGGGGAGAGCAGAGAAAGCCAGGCTCACTTTATAATATTCTCTGCCATAGCCAGCCACTTCCACTAGAAGAGCATTAATTCCCTTAGTGACCAAGTCACCTCTCACAGGTACCACCACTTCTGTTACATAGGGGGCCAACTCCCCAGCACAGGAACCTTTGGGACACAAACCATACCTAAACTAGCCCTCAGTTAATGATTCCACACAAATGATTTGTTAAAATGTAGATTTTTAAATCTTACTATGGTCAGGAGACTATTCAAATGAAACACAACAAAATAGTCAACTAAAGCCCTGGGTTTCACTACTAATTGCCTCTGGGACTTGAGCAAAGGGTTTCCTCTCTTGTGCTCAGGTTCCATTTGTGAAATATGCAGCTGCACTGAATTTCTTTAAAATAACCTGTTACAACAACGTAAATCTTGGAAAATTACAGAGGACAGAGGACTTCTTTTAAACAATAATATCCATGGATAAGAACTAAACTAGGCCTCACCAGCTATTAGACTAATGAGTCATAATATAATTAGTTCTATAGTACAGAATCTGCCTTCAAAACCTACAATTATATTAAGATTGCTCCCTGCCACCTCCTGAATATGCTTATCTAGAATAAATTTTTCCACAATTTAAACCTTCTTAATGTTCTGTACTTTTAAGAAAGACAAAAGGCAATACAGACTATTCAACAGACACAACAAGCACTTGGAATATGACAAAAGACAAGATAGACAAGTGGAAGAAGACAAGCCGAGTGGGAAGTCATTTTTTAATGGATGTTGTCAGGATACTACTGCAGCTAGGGTGTCAGAACATTTTTCCAGATGTCTTTCCTTAACTTAGAGAGGAAAGAGCAAAGGTTCTTTTTAAAAAATTCTCTTCTGCAGGGTGTGGTGGTGCATGCCTGTAATCCCAGCATTTGGAAGGCAGCGGCAGAAAGATCAGAAATTCAAAGTCATCCATCCTCAATTACAAAGCTAGTTTGAGAGCAGCCTGGGTTACAGGAGACTATCTCAAAAACGCAACCAACCCCCTCCCCCCCGCTAAAAAAACCTCACTGAGGAATTTTATATATATTTATGTTCATGTAATATATATATAAAAT